AATTTATTTTTAAGTCAGCTTTGTTGTAAAATAAAAGCGTTTTTGTATTTGCTATTAAAATCACTGAGAAAAACGTTCAAAGTCACAATGAACGTCCACAATTATCTTTGATTATTAAATGTATATACATGAACTGAACGGTTATGTTTTATTTAAAAGATTGCAAAAACTTATGACCTGTTTTTTATTTTTAAATTAAAAAAGAAGAAAAAAAATCAAATACATTGAGCGCAATAGAATAAATCTAAATTTTAAACCAAATATCAACTGCTTATCATAAATATATGCTTAGATAAATTTATTTTAAAAATATAAAAGAAAGTAAAAAGATATCCCCTTATATTAAAAGACATAGATCGTTTGTCGAATGTACTTATATTGATAAAACAATTTTTTACATAAATTTTAGTATTAAGTATTTAATCAATCGGTATTAAAATTTATATTTAAAATTTTTTACGTACATTCGTGAAAATAAACATGAATTAGGTAACCAATACTTCGGTTGGACGTTGAAAATTTCACTCATAATGACTATATAAACTAAATATTGATTTTTCTCTAAAGTTTCGTATATTTGTTGTTTTTTTGCAGCGTGGTACAAACAGCAATTAAGACAAAAAAAAACGTAATTCGCCTCTGTACATGTAAAAAAAAAAAAAAATAACAACTGTTTAGCACCTGAAACGCTTAAAAGATACAAAAAGCCGATAAACGCTGCATCATATACAATTTATACGTGTATGTGTATGGTCAGTAATTGTGCGGCTTTTCACGAAACATCACGATATACGAATTGCACTCTCTTGATCATTAGATCACTTCATCATTATGTATCACTTTTACAGTCACTTTTTTCTTCTTTAGAACACATCTTCATCTTAACTTTGCGTAGAAATGAGACTCAATTTCTTTATCTCTCAACTACAAACACCCATTAACAACTTAAAAAGGAAAGGTAGTCTTTCTCCGCTCACCATTCCTTTATCTTCCTCTGGCTTGTTTATTTGTTTTCAGTCTTCGCATCGTTACGATCACGCGTGCATATGCGCACTTACAATGAATCGAAGAAAACACAAGAAAATTTTTAAATATATATATGATAATGTATTATGCGAGATGTATAATTGTTCTCTCTCTCTCTCTCTCTCTCTCTCTCTCCCTCCCTTCATTTGTTTTTACGACGGTTGACAAGAGTGGCGATAATTTTTTTTGGCAGGTTTTCGCGCTGTAAATGAGAAACTTTAATCGTGTTGGCGCGCTTCAAGAAAAAAAAAACGAAAAACATACAATTTTTTTCGTCTTTTTGTCAATGATCGGGAGCGATAAACTTCGTGTTTTCTTTAAGTTTGGCAATTTGAGAACCGTAATCTAATGTGACAAATTATCTAATAGACGCTAGATCTTTGTTCAATTATTTAGACAAAGAATTGTTCGATTATTTTTAAATTACAGGTGACTATATGGTATTTAAAAAATTCGTTAAAAAAAATACTTACACATAGAACTAATACAATAATTTAAAATTTTACAAAATACTAAAATATTTTATTTCAATATCCATATTATAAAAATATTTTTAAGCTTGTTTAAGTAATTTAAAATGCAATAAATTAAATTAAAATTCAATTCTTTGAATTCAAATTTTAAAAACATTACAAATTTTTTACAATAATATTAAAATTTACTTTAATCAATAATGTTATTTTATTACAGTAATAAAAAGAAAAAGAAAATATAATAAAAGTTAATCGAGTAAACATTTTTCTATAATTAAAAAATATTGTTAAAGGTAACAGATTTTACTTCATCATTCTGCAATCAAAGATACCAAGTATAAAAGTAGTCTCAATCATTTGTATGTTTATATACACCAATAATTATACAAATAGACACCTGCATTTCGTAAACAAAACTTAGTAACAACGTTTAGTTACTGTCAATCAAAATACTTATTATTAATCGAAATTAATAAAATCAAAATACTCGAAATTTTCTTTCTACAAGTCGTGCAGTTTTAACGAATTTTTTTGTTCTTTTTTTTCTTTTTTATTTTGTTTGTTTGTTTGTTGTTGTTTTTTTTTTTGTTTTTTTTTTAAGATAAAGGTATACAATATACTTAACTTCTTTTACAAGACGATGCGTATCAAAGTTAAACTTACATCTATACATATCACTTATATCAACACGAATGTACGGCGACACTGTAATGTTTTTTTATGTCAAAAACGTAAAATTTCTATCGCACATTTTATTTCGTTCGTAATTTAGCATTTAACGTTTATCTCACATTATTTACGAAAAGATTTTTTTCTGCAAATTCAAAATCACTTCAAGCGTTTGCGCTTCCTTCGATTAAGAAAAAAATAAACAAATTCTTCGTTTTCATTTTCATTAATAAGCGTTCAAAATTTGTTAAATTAATAATTATCACGTCAAATAAGTAGTTATATTGAATTTTGGGATTTGCTTTTACACTTCGATAGTCGGCTAAATCTGCTAGTGACATACATGCGCAAAATTAATGTATGCATGAGCTTCCTTCTCTCGCGTTCCATCCTGTACAGTATATATGAAATTTAGAATATCGATAGTATAGCAAAAAATTTGTGTCCACCTTTATCCTGTCTACCGTAAGATTTTTTTTTTTCTTTATCCTTTTAGTCATTTTATTTCTCGGAATTATTTTGCTAAAAATGTACAATGCACTGGCAAACTTTTCGTACAAAAAATAATGTTTGTATTAGTAAAGTGATAAATTTTTAAGAGCTTATGAGATTCGATATGCTTTGCCATTTTATAAAATTTACTTTTCAATGAATTTACAAAATAGATCATTAAAAATAATCCGATTACTTACTTTCTTTATTCTCAACTTTCTCGTTACGATAAAAATAATTCAAACAAGAATTTTCTAATTAGCATTATTATGGTAATTTTATAATAAAATGGAATGAAATCATAGAAATACAAATTTAATGAAGTGAAAATAAAAATGGACATTTACATCTATTTTTCTATACAAATAAGATACGTTCAATACTTAGCAACGCATTTTAGTTTCATGACTGTAATACTATTTTCAAACGTACATTATAAATTTTGTAATTTAAATTTCTAATTCAATGAGAATACTTGAGGAGATATAAAAATTCTATTATTACTATTTAATTCTAAAAATCTAAAAAACCGAATAATTGTCTTTAGATGACAACACATCATTTTACACGCATATAAAAACTGTCTTATCTTCCAAGTATATAAAGCCGTTGTTGTAATATTCTTAGAATCGTTGAATGGACCATCATTTATTTAGAATTTTTAATTGCCATTAAAATAATTTTATAAAATCTGTAAAATTATATATTACACTATTTACTATAATATCCATAATGTCTATAAAATTTTAATCCATTGAAATTTCCAATTAATTGGACACTATTGTTTATTAAAAACCAATTTTCCATTATTGAATTAGTAAAATATTTCAACAGAATATATAGAACTCTTACATCTCCTTAACAAGCAGAACATATACAAATCGTTGTTTTTCGCATATTGACATTCAAGTACACATATTTTTAAAAATTTCATCATTCACAAAGAACATGATGCATAATGGCTCTATTCACGTGTACTAATTTTTAATGTGTTGACTACACTCTATATTGACATCACAATTTCTCTGGGAATTACAATAATAATTATACTCAAAAATACGTCAATTGCAGCAAACATAAAGAAACTTCACAATATTTTTAACCTCGTGAATAACGAAATTGACGATATATTCTTACAAAACAATATTTTTTTTCTATATTGTATCATTCGACTTGCAATAGACATCATTATTTAAGTTTCATTAATATTGCACTAAGCTGTACAATGGACGTTAATGAACTTTTCTCAAGAAAACAAAAATTTTTCTCTTATTTATTTATACGATTTCGGACATAAAGATAAAATCATTAAATTTCAATTCAGCTATTACGTGTGATTGAAATTAGCATAAAATTAAACGATCACATTAAACGATAAATTTATTACAAATGGCAATTGGCGATTAAAACTATATCTATAATCTTTGGAGATTTTCGCAGTTTGAAAAGAAATTATTAACGTCCTTCATTTAAAATTCGTGCAAAATTTAATTTCTAATTTATCTGTAGAGCTATTTAAATTAACAAATCGACTATAAAAGAAATTTTTTTTTTTATCAAATTATTTCACAATCACTGCTACGTGTCATTTAAAAATTACAAACGATTGAAATTCAAAGCCTTATTATTAAAAAATAGTGAGCAAGCGATGTTTTAATTATTCAGAAATATAAAAATCAGAAAAAAATACTGATTAATTAACGTAAAAACATTGCTTAGAATGAAATTCTGTAATTCTGAAAAACTTAAAAAAGGCACCTGGAATTTAACTACGTGTGTATCCGATCAAGTACAGCTAGACCCACTTATATCAAAAGATATACATACATGCATACATATATATATACACACATATATATATATATATATATATATATATATATACTGTAGCTATACACACAAATAGTCGTGTCATCACTTATACAATTTTATCACACATACAAGCAAATCAATCATTGTTTAAAACGTGAAAATGAGAGCCATAATGCAGCAGAATATACATTAATGATACCTCATTATTTCATTCATTTACCCACCAATTATTATTAATTCACTACCAACTTTTTAATGTCATGTTATGAAACGTAGTGACATACTAGAATTCTATAAAAATAATAATAATAATAATAATAATAATAATAATAATAATAATAATAATAATAATAATAATAATAATAATAATGATAATAATAATAATGATAATGATAATAATGATAATAATAATGATAAAAAAAGTTGTTTTAATTGTTATCGAAAATCGACATTTTTGTGAAAAAGGAAGCACATCTGCATACACACGATTGTATAATGTTTCTTTTGTATTTTTTTTCTTTTTTTTTTCTTTTTTTTTATATATATATATATCTTCGATTATCCAATAAAGTTAAAACTTGCACAAATACTAACTTTTTTTTTCTCAAACAAACAATAACGGGCATATTTGATTGAAACTAAGTAAAAACAAGCGATCAAGTTTTCACGAACATAAAACTGCTCCCGCCGAACAAAAATCGCTAAATTAAACGCTAATTAACTGCGCGAATAGTTTTTAAGGAAACTAAGACAGATATGACAATCAAACAAATCACTTGCTTTGCGCGACAACCCTTTAGTAATCAAAGGAATTATACATATGATTAATTCAGTATCTTAAGTTTTAAGTTATCTAGTTAATGTAGTGTTTGTGTATCAAATCATTTATCGCAACTATTATTTGTTCGGCACACTTTACCGAATAAAAGTCTCAAATGTAAGCGCACGCGTCGATATTGTCGCTCCCTCGCACTATCATTATTAGCCGTCCTCCTTTGGTGGTGTAAACCAGCCTGCAAAATAATATTTATTTTTATAATTATAACTGCTATTAGCGTGTTACTATATTTTGTACAACCATACTATTAATTAGATTAATTGTAATGATCGAAATAATACGAAATTGTGTTAGCATTATTCAAAGCTTAAAAATGGTATAAAAGCTACTTTTATATCAACAATAAGAAAACAAGATAGAACATATAAGTAAAAACAAATAAATAATACGTTTAATTATAGTGCTAGTAAGAAATATAGATACTTGGTGAGAAAAAAATTAAGTTTAGCCAGAAGAAGTGTTCGAATCTTGATTTTGTTTTCAAGAAAACAAATTTAGTATAATTTAGTATAAAAATTTAGTATAATAAAATCATGGATAACAATTTTGTTTCTTAAGGTTTCGACAATATAAATGCAATGATAAAATTACTACATGAATAAAATTAATAGAAATTATTAATAAGTTTCAATCGACAACTTCCTGTTAATGAACGAAAGCCACTTGAACATTAAATTTACAGAGCAGAATTTTGATGAATAATAAAAATGCAAAATAATGAGCCAATGAAAAGTTATGATTTTACATTTTAAAAATGTATGAATGACACTTACATTCAAATATTTTTAAAATTAACGAGTGTCATCCCTCACAGTGAAACCGAAATTTCTTAGAAGTAATTCCTGTATGACTAATGCAAAATAAAATTTGCATTTTTCCATTTAAATATTTACATTTAAATTTATAATCAAGACATTTATAAATACATTATGAAAACATAATATTATTATGAATATTAAAAAGAATAATTTCTTAGAAAATAGTGAAATACTCCATTCGATCGAAAATCAGTTTAAACAAGTTCAAGCAAAGATTAAAATGAATTAGTTAAAAAAACTTGTTTAAGTTCAGTTGTGTAAGAGGACATCTGTAAAATGTTAAGTATCCGTTAATTTTATAATTAACTATTGAAAATCGTTTTCACATTGGCATTATTTAATGTAAACTTTATATAATGTACAATTAATACCAAATATAGGGGTTTTTCAAAATACTCTTTGAATCCTTTAAACAAAATAGGGTAAATATTTTATTTGACCGTCGTTAATTGATGATTGTTGTATGGATGACTTTTTTTATTCAAAATAAAGATTCGTCGTAAAAAATAGATAACAGTAAAAGTAATAGCGATGGTCGATTGATTTACTTTAAATACCTTTTGTATGCTTGCATGCATGCATTAGACTAATGAAATGAGCATGCATTAATAAAATTGCGTCGAAATATTATAAAGAAACAAATTACTTAAATTATATCTTCTGTATTTTATCAATTTAAAAGAGTATGATATTATATAAATTAATATTCGTTAAGACTTTTATAAATTTTCTCAAAAGCCTATTTTTTATTATATTGTTTCTTAATAATATTTTGAACAGTCCCCATAAAAGTCTTATGACAACTGTTCCAGAAGCTATTATTATCTAATTTTATCCAATTTATCTCATTGAGTTATATATAAAATAAATGATTGCAATAATTTTATAAAGTTGTTTCTCATATTTTTAATCAGAATTTTTACAAATTTGTTAATAAATAAATTGAAAAATTGGTATAGTTATTTTTAATAATTAATAACAATATGAATAAGCTCTAAACGTAAAAGCACGATGAGAACAATTTTTTAAGCATTGGCTTGCAATATCAAGAAAATTGAGTCTTTAAGAATTACGCCCAAACCACAACCAACCAATAATAACTGCGTGTAAAAAGACTATTGTCAAATGTAAAATGTTACCTACCGTTTTTCTCGTGTATCTGGACGAGCGACTTGAAGGACTGTTGCGCTCGTGCAAGACTATATTGTCCCTGTCCACTGCAAACTTTACCACCACCGCCAGTCGGTTGGAATTGTATACGCGCCTTTCCCTTGACCAGCGTCGCCGAAATTTGCATTATTACTGCTTCCACTGTGTACGCCGAACTCCAGCCCTGCTTTGTTAATAATTCCATACAAATTGCTCCCCCTATTAGAACATAGCCGCCAGATATCATAGGATATACCACCCGCACAAAAGGTGGCTCAAACGGGTAAGACTCCTGCAAGGAATTCAAAATGTCTATTTATTAGATGCTCGGACGGCTACGTTTAGTTGCAAATATACTTCGCTAGATGCTTAAGGATATGTTCAAAAGTGAGACAAAAAACATCAGCGTCTGTGTAAGCAATTGTTACAAAAGTTTTAATATATTTGCCTATTGTGCGCAGCTAGAGTATGTAAATGGAATATAATTCAAATAACGAATATGTTTAAAAAATTTTAAGATAATAAATAGATAATAATAACCTTAAAGAGCATATTTAATAATATACTATCTTTTCCTTCCTTTTCCTTTAAAAGTACCAGATCATTGTGTAATGGAGAATCAGGATCTACACATTTCAATCTAATATTCCATTCGTATAGGCTATCGTTTACAAGTTCTATGCTGTACATTCCTAAATGAATAACAAAACATTGTGTTTTATGATTATGGATTAAGATAGAAATAGCATTTAAATTTTATTTATATAATTTTTGCATTATTACTTATTGTAGCTTACCTTTTTTAAAACTGTCGCTGCGATATATATCACGAAGCTCCTTCATAAGTCTATCGGTAGCTTGTACACTTCCAGAAACAGAACCTTTTAAATAATCTTGTCTTTGATTTTGTCTCAACCTTTCTAGTGTCGCAAGATGTTCTAACGCCATCTCATCGCCCTTAAAATCATGGAAATTACAAACTCTTTATAATTGAAGTAAAAATAAATAACTATATTATGTACTAATCGTGCAATAATCTCTCATTTAGAAAAGAAGGCACAGTTACACACAAAAATTGAGATACAAGAAATAGGTAACATGAAATGTAATTGTTTTATTAGCCCAATTAAGACTAATAAACACAAATGTACAGTAATTATACGATAAAATATTTCAATACGTCGTGAAACAAATATAAAATGAATTTCTAACCAATTGTGAACCTATTTTATTAGAAAATCTTTCCATTTTAATACACGAGATTAAAATTCATAACAAATCATACCTTATTCTTAGTATTAGTTTCACCCTCATCCATATCTAAATGAAGATCTTCCTCAGCTTCGCTTTCTTCGTCGTCGTCAAGATCTTCCGTATCTTCAGACTCCATTCTTTGCGGTACAGCGTCCGTTGATCCACTTAATCTAAGTGGGTCGAAAGCTGTTCTAAGGCGTTCAACATCTGGTGGTTCAGGCAAGGAATGTAGGCGGCACAATTCCTTCAAAAGGATTCCTACTTGATTAATAACATGGTTGTCAAGGCCAGTGGTATTACTCAAAATTTGTACAGCATTTGTGACACTTGTTTCCTCTGACTCGGCGAACCATACTGGTGGCGTCGAAGGATAAGTTTCCTGTAATTGTATAAAATGTGGTTGTTTATATTGCTTTATAAATTTTACATGTTTATTAGATAATTTTTAAAATACTTATATTTTTGAAACCATATATGTCTATAAAGTTTATAAACTTTAATTATATAACTAAATTAATAGGAATGACTAGACTATATAATTTCCAAATAATACGTTAGCAGGCCGGCAGACAAAGAATCTTTTTCTTATGTAATTTATATACTCTTTTTATGATGATAATAATCACCTCCAAATGTAAAGTATAATAAAATAAAATACAATAGAATATATAATTTTATTAAAGGGAAGATTATCGAAAGAATTCTTTAAGCAGGGATTCTGCAGTTTCACAACCACAATATCATAGCAGAATATTAATTAAATACATCAATAAATGTTAACGATGATAATTTTATGAATTTTCCATACATTAAATTGCTTTCAAAAATGGAAAAATCTATAAAATAGGTATAAAGTGGTTTTAAACTAGTAATAAGCGCTACTATGAAAACCTATCGCACCAAGAACAGTGTATAATCGATATATATCAATCTTCATCAATCAAAATGGCTACCTCGACATTATTAATTATTTATTAATTATACGAATAATGTAAAAATGATCAAACAAGTAACATAATTATTAAAATACAATGAGTATTAAGCATTATTGCAATGACGAATAGCAAAAAGGAATCGCAACAAATAATAACTAATTCTGCGTGCAATTTTTTGGTAAATGCAATAAAGCATCAAAATAATACATGTTTTTAAATATTCAAAATATTGAAATCTTTTTTTTTTTTTGGCATTTTACAATTTCTGATTTTGTATAAATAATATCCTTACAGGCAGCAGTCTAGAATACCAAAATATCCAATATTGGTATCCAATATCCAATATGGCTTATAAAATATAAGCCCGAATGATTACATGAAATTGGTAAGAGTTTTGAAATTGTATACATGCACTCTTAAAGAAACTAGAATTGCAAAGGCTTTGAGCGAGGAACATGGTTGACTAATAATGCTACTTTTCCCTTCTTAAACTATAAGTTGTTCAAGATAATTAGCTAAATGAATTTTGCATTGCTTCTTAGAGGACTTTCTCAAAATGTTAAATATCACTTAAAAAAGATGGGATAGAAACAAATATGAATACAAATCTGACGTTACCAAGGTCGGCAATGCTAACAAGCATCATTATTTAAGGTTCAAAGTTTTTCGCAATGGGTCGGTCAAAATATTTCTAGTCTCATTGAACAGCTGTTACATTATATATCTTGTGGAACGAAGAAAGTCTCTAAACACAGT